TGACTGGGCCCATTACCAGGTGCACACATTCTTGCCTGACTTAAGAAGACACAAGCTCTTCTCATTTTGTTGCATGTATCAAGGGCCCAGATGCAGCCAACTTTGATTTTATTTTAATGAGAATCCGGCTGGACATTCCTTACCAAGTGTAGTGAATGCTACTGTAGGTATTGCTACTTAGTTTGGTAGGCGCTACAGGATTGGGCCCTTCCAGAATAACTGGGGGTGTATAGGTTTGGTCTGAGATTTTAACTTGATTTTTTTCAAAATGATCTCATAGTTTGTTTGGAAATAGATCAGGAAAATAATCAGGTAAACAAACCGTGAATATGTGTGTTGAATTATCAGCCCAGATTTCTAGCTGGGTGAAGGCTTTTTTTTTTAAATATGTGTATTTTTGAAATAATTTATCTGACATTGTTAAATTTGTCAGATAAATTATTTGACAAATACCAGTTCTATTTATAAATCCTCCCTTCATTAACCCTTAATTGCTATTCATTTATTTCTTCTCTACATGCTAGTGCGAGTTTTTATATGGGATGCAGGTGGTGGGGCCTGGGATTTTACTTTTTCTTCATCAGATGTTGTTCTATGACAACATGTTCACTTCAAGGGCCTGATCTAGTTTCCCCCCACCCCCCAAAGTCAATGGAAAGCCTCCCACTGACTTCATGAATTATCCTTGGCTCTCCCACACACAATGTAGTTTAAGGCTTAATACTGCAAAACCACTTATGAATATCGGTACCTTTACTTATGTGAGTAATGTTATTACCATCAATGGGTCTTCTCACGTGATCAAAGTTACCCCCGGGCCCAAGAGTTCACAGAATTGGGCCCATTGAAAGGAAAATGAAAAATGAAGTCGCATTCCCAAACAAAGGCTTAATCCTGCAAACCTTTTGCACACATGAGTAGTGCTCACCCGTGCGAGTGGTTCCATTGATTTTGCTTCTCCGCTGACTTCAGTGGCATTGCATTATGGGTCAGATTCTGTCACCCTTCAGTTGAGCAGAGCCTTATTCTATGAGGACCCATATTGAAACAAATGGGGCTACTCGCAGAGTAAGATGCTACTGACCATGAGCAAGGGGGGACAACTGGACCATAGATGTTTATTTGAAAGTAGAGAGTAGAAACTTTAATAATAATTAATAATACTTGGATTTAGTTTTTATTTATTCCTTTTATTTCTATGTTCTGAGCAGCGACTGCTTCCCCCTCCCTATGAGCAATTGTAGCTTGTTACTGAAGACTGTAGTCAGGCCAAACTCTCATGGACTGCAGAGGCAGTTTTGCCTGGTTAAGGGCTGGAAAAGCAGGATTACCTGGGAACAGTTCTCACCTAGGAACTGTGGAGTAGGTTCAGTCTATACTTACTTTTTGCCCCCCCTTAATTATAATGGTCTAAAACCCAATGTAGTTAAAGTAGTACAACCCTTTATACTGGTATATAGGTGCTTATGGGGGAATTGATTATTTCCATACATTTAATATGCTATATTGCTATAAGCACCTTTTAACTGGTATATCGGCAGCAACAGCATTAGATACTGCCACCCATCACCATAGTATCTGAACACTAGGGGGGTTTATCACTTTATATCTGCTTCTAAGCCACTACAGGTATAGACATACAAAAACTGTATGTGAACCAGCCCTAGGTAGAACACTGTCAAAGGGACACCCTGGCTAAGCAGTAAAATTATTCTTTCCACCAGCCTGTTGTTGTGTTGTTGTTGTTTGTTTGTTTTAAATTGACATGCATTTGGAATAGCAGTGGTATGCGCAGGGGCTTGCCACATGTAAAATGTGTTAACAGATCTGTCCCTTTTGAACAGGCCAGTGTTGGAATCTGTGTCACCTTTGACTTCGGTGAATGTTTATTCTTTTAACAGGGTTTAACAAGTATTAATTCAAAAGGCCTTCCTGGCTCCTTGGCATATATTTGATTTAAATCACAGTCTTTCCCCAGATCTCTTCCTTCAGGAATTCTTTTCAGCGAGCTCTCGGATATGGGCCCCAGACAGCATTTGAAGGCATGCAGTGCTTAATTTGTAATGAAAGAGGTGCGGGGGCTCAAGCAATTTTTTTTTAACATTCATAACTGATGCAGCAAGCCCAGGGGCTATGAACTGCCAAGCCCAGAGGTGTCCGAGCTCAGCCCTGGCACAAATTAAACACCGAGGGTGAGTAATTCAAGGGAAATGCAGATGGGGAGAGGAGGCTTCTTAGCCCGGTCAGTTTCCCAAAGTGTTGGCTGCAGCACTTGTGTACACATTGCATTTTGTTGTGAAATTCTCTAGGAAAGGAACACAAACTTTCACACACGCACAAATAGCGCTACATAATTTAAGTGAGGCAGTAAAATGGGATGCCATCCATCAGACCTTTGGAGTTCTCTGAAAGCAAGCTCCTTCTCATGCCCGGGGTGAGATATTTAAAGAGCAATAAAAGAGAAGGACCTGGCAAAGGCAGGGCTTTGTAATGTATGTCTGAGTTACCGGGAGAAGGCTGATACAAGGGAAAGGCTATCCAATGCTGCTCCCACCCTCTCCTGGACCTGCTACCCACTGTGAGGTGCTTGCGTGGACAATGCATTGGCATGTTGACCGGCTGAAGAGCTGAGTGGAGGAGCAAGCAGATCTCAGGGGATTTTAGGAAGAAAGGAACTGACTCCCCCCCCCCCCACACACACACACACTCCCCCGAAGTGAATATGAGCTGAGACTGAGACCGGCTTCATTACTCATTTGGCTGGCCCCGAGTTTATTTTATTTGCAAAAAAATTCCGACCGGATCCTGCAACCTTTTTCCCAATCCCAAATCAAGGGGATCTCCCAGGAATGCAGGATCGGGTCCCTTCCTCACACCCCCACGGCGTGCTATGCAGCCTCGGCTAATTGAATGCATCAAACAAACCTAAGGACAGTTTAATTTAATGTTTTTTGTTGTTGTTTTTTTAAGGCAGGAGGCAAAAAAAAAAGTTAAAAAAAAATCCCTCTACCACACTGGGAGACCAGCTCTGTCAATAGCCGTTTAGAAACGCTAAAAAAAATTTAAAGGAATAGCCTTCTTACTCCTCTCCCTTCCGTTTACAATAACACGTGTTACCCAGCCCTCCCCCTCCCTCCCCAGTCTCCAAACTGGAACTGAAGCCCAATGCGGTTGCCCAACTGCTGTGGTTTTCTGCGCCCCTCACTGTTGCTCCCTGAAATGATGGGGTGGTGGGGAGGGTGAGATCATGTAAAACCATGACAGCTCCCTCCCCTGCTTCAAGTTTGAGTCCAGGCAAGATGAAGATTAGCTGACTGATGGATCGATTTATGGCCCCGTTCTGAGAGGAACGAATAATAGTTTTGTGTGTGTACACACACATACAGAGAGAGGGAGAGAGAGAGAGAGAAACACACACACAGAGAAACACACAGAAAGAGAGAGAGACACACAGACACAGAGACACACACACAGAGAGAGAAACACACACACACAGACACAGAGAGATTGAGAGAGAGAGAAACACACACACACAGAGAGAGAAACACACACACACACACACACACACAGAGAAACACACAGAAAGAGAGAGAGAGACACAGACACACACACAGAGACACACACACACACAGAGAAACACACACAGAGACACAGAGAGATTGAGAGAGAGAGAGAGAGAAACAGAGAGAGAGAGAGAGAGAAAGAGAGAGAAAGAGAGAGAGATCAACCAAGAAGGTGCTTTTCTTTTTCGGGCCAGGTAACTTGAAGTCTGCAAATCAGATTTCATCTCTCCTCCTGTTTCCCTTTCTGTGCTGCTAGCATCAGTCCCACCAACAACCCTCAACACATTTCATTGGAGTCTAAGAGAAAAAAATGCTTTGAACGCTGGTAATACCCTTATTTATTAAAAAAAAAAAACCTTATGCTTCTGGGGGTTTGGTCTGTTTTTTTGCCCCCTCCGAACGACAGGAAATGAGATCGTATTTATTTAATAGAGTACAATTTAATTGTCTATAATGCATTGTTCGGACAAGCATCTCTCAGCCCTGATGAGAACAAAATACGTGTAATGTTTCCATCACAGAGCTCGAGACAGACTAGTCTGATGGTTTGGGAGCCGAACAAGGAAATCTTATCTAAGCCGTCTCTTCCCCAGCACATCCACTCCCTTACAGCCCACTCCCGGCACGGAGGGTATGTAAAATAAGTATCCCCATCATCAACAGTAGTCCTATAGCTTTCCCCTTCCTCTCCCAAGATCTCCAGTAACACAGCCCCCCTTTCCTGGCTTGATGGCATAATAACATAACGAAAGAGCAAGCAGGGTATTTTTTCCCCCAGATGCAACAAGACCAAACAGAGTAAGAGAGAGAGAGAAATGATACAGCCACCACAGTACGAGCAGGCTGTGATGCTGAGGGCTTCCTCCTTCTCTGAACTGCTTTGATGATCAATTTCATCATCGTCGTCGTATTGAATAGAAGAATAAAGCCAGAACACCTTGGGTCCCCCCCCCACCTCAAATAAAAGGCAGTTTTCCGGGTGATGATTGAGATTAAAACACGACAGCGATTGATCGTAAGGCTTTGCAAAGCTAAAGGGAGGGGGGGGAATCATCATCATTGCTCCTAAAAATGCAATCGCTCCCCTTTGCTCACTTGGCACAATAGAAATTGACTCGCTCTCTCCAATAGCCATGCGCCTAATGCTATTTATAGCCAGGGGCTGGGTTGGAAGGTACCATTGAGCTTCTCCCAGGCAGGCAGGGGGGGGGAGATGTGTGTGTGGTGGGGGGTTTGGCTGGATGGGAGGAGGGGGTTTAGCCAGGGTAGAGGACAAAAGCAGATCCCCCCCTCACCCTCCAGTCCCTACCCTGCTCATCCACACGCGCACCACCCCCTAGTCTGGCTGGGAATTTGAACCGCTCCAGCCTGTTTAAACGGAAAGGACACAGATCCTCAATGTAAAAAAAAAAAAAAGAAAAGAAAAAAAGTCAGCCCAGACCCGGGGAGCGAGGCAGAGAGGGAGGAGTGTGTGTGTGAGTGTGTATGTGTGTGTGTGTGAACGCGGGAGAGAGAGCGAGAGAAGAGAAGCGAGGGTGGGGGGAAAAGGGAAAGAAGATTTTCTCTATGTATATAAAGATGGCCACGTTAGCAAACGGACAAGCAGACAATACCACCCTGAGTAGCAATCACACCAACCCCAGCACCAACGGGCACATGAACGGATTAACCCACAGTCCCGGAAACCCAGCCACCATCCCCATGAAGGACCACGATGCCATTAAGCTCTTCATTGGGCAGATCCCCCGCAACTTGGACGAGAAGGACCTCAAGCCGCTCTTCGAGGAGTTCGGGAAGATCTACGAACTGACGGTGCTGAAGGACAGGTTCACTGGCATGCACAAAGGTGAGCTCCCCTCCAACTTTCCCGGGAGAGCCGGGGAGTTTGGGGGGCGCGGTGGGGCTGCCAGATCCTAGAAAGAGAAGCAGAGAGAGAGAGGAAAAAGGGGGCGAGGGGGACACACACACACACACACACACATCGCACGCGGTTTATTTATTTGTGGTTAATGTATTGCCATGCTTTTGCTTTTGCTTTCCGCGGCGATGCAATCACTGGAGCCCGCCGGGGTTCGCCAGAGGCAGCTGTCCACAGACGGGTGGTGCTGAAAAGACGGCGAGGGCTTATTTATTTATCTTTCGTAGCGGCACATTTCCACCCAAGGAGGGGTGTATTTTACAGCGATTCCTTGTGAGAGATCCGGGATCTTAAAATAAAGGGATGGGGGAGGTTGAGTTCCTTTTTTTTAAGGGTGGGAGAAAAAAAACCCAATAAAAGAAATCGCAGGAAGGGTTCTAGACAATTGCAAAGTAGATAGCAGTGGGGCTCATTCAAAAGGAAGGACTATTCTAGCATCCCGAGCAAACCTAGCATGCACACACAGAGACACTTTCCTTAGCGTGGATGGTCAATTCTCCGGGCGTGCTGGAAGAGAGCAGGAACTTTGGGGATTTTATCTGAATGCTCCGGGGCAGCGTTCATGTAGGGTTTTCTTCCGCCCTCCTCCCCCCCGGTCTTAGTTGTAGCGGCGGAGTGGGGACTGCAAATGTTTCATCCTCGGGGCTGGGATGTTCGGATGTGTAGTTGAGATTAGCAGGAGTCTAGTGCTTGCCACCAGATTGATCGCCAGGCATGAAAGTAGGACTAAACTGAGTAACTTGGAGGTAATTTACATAGAAGACCCGCTTACAAACAGGATGCCTTGGTAGCCCAAATGAACGACCTTCTTAACTCCTGATATTATTATGTTATTAATAATCATTATTCTTATTAATTATTATTTTAGTTTATGGAGTATTGCTTTTAAAAGAGGACACCGCCTTGATCAAACAGAGCACAAATACGACGGTGTGGTCACTTTAGATCCAGGGTTGGGGGAAGTCAGATTTATGAAATTAGGGTTTAAATATCAACTTCGGTTAACCCAGCAGACTCCTAGTGGACAGGGTCCCAGAGAATAATGTCATTGGGTTCATATCTATTCAGCTTGCTTGATGAGTTGTAAATCTTAAAGTTAACGGCATGTTTAGCAGTCAGCTTGCCCCCCCCGCCCCACTCCCCACCCCGGCAAAGAATGCAAATATAATCCTATATCCAAGAAAACAATATCTAGAGCAAAGAGACTGAGGAGGGCATATAAATTACAGGGCATTTTCCCTCTCCCCGGATAATCAGTATAACCTAGGCGCTTTTTCACCTTTCAGTCAAGCTTCCTAGAAACCACATCAAGGTTAGTGTTTGATGTTTATCGTTTAAACAAGTCGTCGATAAAAATAAGCACCGGGAAGGCGAGGTCCTAGGAGATTGTTTCTAGCAGATGAGGGGTAGTTCCAGTGGGCGGTGTGTGTGAATGATGCGGGTTTCTTTCTTAAGAAAGAGGAAACAATAATAATGAATAATACAAACTTTACCACGTAGCTTCGCCTGGATGCAAAATCCAGGCTACCAGGGCATGTGGAGATGGGATCTGGCTAGAGGTTTCTTCTTGTATTTAGTCTGTAATTATTTCTAGCTCTGGGCAAACTTTAATGCCTTTCTATTTTATATAATATGTATCGCACCCTGTAGCTCATACATTGTCCGCAGAGATCTGTGTTTGTGTGCACACGCATAGAGAGAGCGAGCACTTCTCTTGCTGCCTGAATATTGTTGAGCAAATATTCCTGAAATAAGCAAGCCGCCAGACTTCATTTTCCTCCAACTCTATCTAAAGCTGCCACCTAGGATGAGGGGAATCGGTCAGGGTGGACCAGACCCGGCTACTGTAGAAACCAAGATCATTTTCAACCTCTTCGAACTTCTGGACTTCGGAGTGGGGGGAAAAATGCTGATGGTTATTGTCATGGAGCGGGGCTAGGCGCCGAGATGCCAGCGGTTGAGAGATCGGTTTTATGTAGTCCGTCCGAGAAGTGTTTGGACTCCTTTCGGGTGATGCTGCTGATTTATTAGCTAATCCTGATCAAAATGTGCCTCTGGCTACCTGAAAAAAAATTACTTTCTTGCCACGGGTGATTAATTACTATTAAGTCAAAAAGCATGGCGGGGCTTTGAAAAATTAGGATTGTGTTTTGCTTCTAGTTTTTTTTTTCTTTCTTTCTGACCCCCTCGCCTCCTTTTCTTTTTTCCTCATCTAAGTCAGCAACATAAAGTAGAATATTAACACAGATCCCCCTTCTTGGTTTTGGCATGGTTGAAGAATGGCATAAAGATCCTCTAACTTAGATCCAAGAGCATAGGGTGGCGGTATAAAAACCCCAGTCGCTTCCCACAACTGCTGCATAAGAGTGTACATGAATTGATCCCTTACCCTTAGTAGATTTCACGCGCAGACCTAGCCATGGGGGTATCCCAGTGAAGGATGTCAAGGGTTAATGGGAGCTGTAGTTTATTTAACTGTGTG